GGGGGGACGGGGGGGTCGGGGTTTGTCCTGCGCTCATTAAACTCGCTGAACTCCACTCGCCTCCGCTGCCTGCTGTCCCCTCCGACCCTCCGGTGCCTGGTGAGCCCCCCCGGGGCACCGTCTCCCTGCTGCCCCAGGTGCCCTCATGTCCCCTGCTGTCCCCCGGCGCTCCTTGCAGCCCCCCCAGGTCCCCTGGCACTCTGTGCACCCTGCGGCTCGCTGTCCCTGCTGGGCTCTGGTGTCCCTGGTGTGACGGTGCCGGCTATCCCCCATGTCCCTCAGTGCCGGCTGTTTCTTGGTGCACCCCCCTGCTGGGTGTACCCCACAGCAGCGAAGGGACACCCAGCGTCCCCTGATGTGCCCTGGTGCCTGCTGCCTCTCCATGTGCTTTGTTGCTGGCTGCGCCCTGTTGCCCGGCATTCCCTCGGTACAGCCCTACTGCCATAGCGCCCGGCATCGCCCAGTGTCCCCCAGTACAGTCCTGCTGCCGTAGCGCCTAGTGTGCCCTAGTGCCTGGTGTCCCCCAGTATGCACCATCGCCTGGTGTGCCAGGACTGCAGGTCCTGGTGCCACATCACCCAGTGTCCCCCGGTGTGCCAGGACCGCAAGCCCGGGTGTTCCCCGGTGTGCCAGGACCACAAGTCCCGGTGCCATATCTCCCGGTGTCCCCCGGTGCCGGTGCTCCAGGACCGTAAGTCCCGGTGCCACATCACCTGGTGTGGCAGGACCGCAAGCCCCGGTGCCACGTTGCCCGGTGTCCCCCGGTGCTCGAGGACTGCAAGCCCCGGTGCCACGTTGCCCGGTGTCCCCTGATGCCGGTGCTCCAGGACCGCAAGCCCCGGTGCGGTATCGCCCGGTGTCCCCCGGTGCCGGTGCTCCAGGACCGCAAGTCCCGGTGCCGTATCGCCCGGTGTCCCGGGGTGTGCCAGGACTGCAAGTCCCGGTGTTCCCCGGTGTGGCAGGACCGCAAGCCCCGGTGCCGTATCGCCCGGTGTCCCCCAGTGCCGGTGCTCCAGGACCGCAAGTCCCGGTGCCACATCGCCCGGTGTCCCCCGGTGCTGCAGGACCGCAAGCCCCGGAGCGCCCGGTCCCCCGCCGCCCCTTGTCCCCTAGTGTCCCTAGCGCCCGGTATCCCCCGGCGACGCCCCGCTCCCCGC